AGGGTACTGCCAGACAAACCACAGTGTGCTAATACACTGACTGTTCATTTTCCAACAAGCTCTGGGACCTGAGATGGTCCTGAGGTCTCCTGAGGCCTGGTCACAGCTCAGCTCTCCTGTTTGGAGAACAGGAACTCTGGTTCACACACGCTCTACCTCCTAGGACCGGAAAGAACGTGAAGGTGACAGTGGCTGCTGGCATCTTCTGGTGGTAGGATGGGTACCAGAGTCCCTCTGGCTGGGACGGAATTCGGGCTTTCTGACTGCTGATGTGACACAAAGATTCTCGTGTCACATCCTCTCTGGGCCCCATCTCTTTGTCCTTAAGGTGGTGATCCTGGTAATGGTGAGATTTAGGAAGTTAACAAATATCCTGCCATGCTGTCCACAGATCCTTGTCCCCATGGAAGTGTTAAATTATTAAGCCTTTTCTCTGTTTTAGTTTCTGAGACCTCCTGGGACCTCCTAGACCTACGGATGAGTCTTTCCATTTTTGCTGATACCAGCACTGGGTCAGAGGGGCCTCTGGTGCTCTGTTTCCCAAGTCCACGGCAGCAGGACAAGTTGCTGAGACAGAGCTATCAATCCAGTATTGGCCAGGATGGAAAGCATGGCAGAACAGAGTCAGCAGCCTCTGATGTCATTTGATGAGTGGTGTGCTATCCAGCAGCAGTCAGCCTTCTTTTCCAGCCAGGTCCCACAGTAACACAGCACAAGTCCTGCAGCCCACCCTGCCCCTCCACCCTGCCTGAGCCTGTGCCTGGTCCTCAACGCATGACCTGTGTCCTCCCATGTTGCCTCTTCTCTGGGCCAGGGAGAAGGAACAGGTCAGTAGTCACTAAGTGCTAGGACCTCAGCTCTATTCTCCAAGTTGGTTACAGGAGAGGTGACAGTGCCTTGGAAGGCCAAAAAGGGACAGGTCACAGAGGCCATGCCTGCAAGCTCACTCTGTGCTTACTGGCTGACCAACTGTTCTTATGTGGTCCCCATCCCTCCTCTCCCTCTTCAGTGTCATCAATACATCTGGAACTAACCCAGGTCCTTAAACTACTATGCTCCTGTTGTGCCCAGAGATCAGACTCCCAAGAATAACCACGGAATCCAGAGGGCATGCAAGAACAAAGAGTCTTTATTCGGGCTTAAGCTCCGGCTCTCAGACCTCACCAATGCAATGGATCTGTGCTGAGAGCCCCGATCATAGGGGGTGGAAGCACTTTATAGGTTTTGGACAAAGGGAGGAGGGGAATAACAGAGTCACACTTTGATTGGCCTGAGGAGTCCGCACGCGCCAACACACTTTTGAATTGATTGGTTATAAGGGATGCAGTCCTGAGGGCTTCTCATTGGTGGGTGCTACCCTCAGAGTTGTGGAAGGAGCCCACGCACCAACACACTTTTGAATTGATTGGTTATAAGGGATGCAGTCCTGGGGGCTTCTCATTGGTGGGTGCTACCTTCAGAACTGTGGAATGTGCTGAGTGTAATCTGTAGAGCCAGAAGTCTCTGTTTCTACCTTATAAGGCTGCTATATGTCTGGGATTGCTTGACCTATAGCATCCTGAGGTGGGGGTGGCAGGTAGAGATTACAATATGCCTAGGTATGTTCAGGCTTGCCTGAAACAGCTAGTCAAAATGGGGTTAATATAGTTTGTCCATTCAATCGAGCAATCAAGCAGTTTACAGAAGCAAAAAAGAGCAGTTAGTCCTAAAGAGGGGCAGGGGTCTCAGGAGTCCAGGGCAGGGGGCCAAGGAGGAGGGCTTCACATTCCCCCCTTTTCTTTGTAGCTTAGAGAGGACCCAATCTTGCGTCCAGGTTAGGGTCCCCTCCAACAGGGTTCCAGGGTCTCTTGGTGATGTCTGTGTACGTAGACCTGATCACCAGGCTGGTAGTTCTGCGGGGTAGGAGGGGGAACAGTCTCATAGATAGCTTTCAGCTGGGGCCATACGTCCCTATGTGCCTGAATCACTGCCTCTAGAGAATCAAGCAACTGTTGGTTATCAAACTCAGCAATTAGTTCAGGTCTTAGACTGGGGAGGATGGGGGGGGGTCTTCCAAACATGATTTCATAGGGGGGCCAATCCTAGCAGCTAGGGTGAGTTCCTCACCTTATACAGGGCGAAGGGAAGGAGAGCCACCCACTCCCTGCCAGTCTCCATGGTTAATTTGGTAAGGGTCTCTTTTAGAGTCCAATTCATCCTCTCTACTTGTCCCAAGCTCTGGGGCCTGTACACACAATGTAATTTCCATTTTGCCCCCAATATCCTAGCTAATTCCTCGGTTACCTGTGATGCAAAGGCTGGCCCATTGTCGGAGCTCAGAAGGGCTGGGATGCCATACCTGGGTAAGATGTCCTCCAGCAGTTTCTTGGCTACCACCTGAGCGGTCTCATGCTTGGTGGGGAAGGCTTCAGTCCATCCTGAAAAGGTGTCTACCAGGACTAGTAGCTATTTGTAACCATACTTGCCTGGCTTAACTTCTGTAAAGTCCATCTCTCAGTGGGCCCCTGGTCTAGAGCCCCTCATTCGAGCCCCTTGTTCCTTAGGATGGTTTTCAGCATTGGTCAGCTTGCAACTAAGGCATGCAGAGGCGACTGCATTAACCAGTGGGTGGAGATTCAAGACTTTTAAATGAGCATTTCTTAAGAGTTCAGCTGTTTTCCTTGTACCCAGGTGAGTGGTTCGGTGGATGTGTGTGAGGAGGTCTTTGGCCAAGTCGTTTGGCAGAATAATTCTGCAGTCTTCTGTATGTCACCAAGCCTCGATCTTTTGGGTCATGGGAAGTTTGTGTATCAATTTCATATCCTCTTGGGAATAGTGAGGCTGATCAGGTAGGATGAGGGGGCCAGGATCTGGCAGTTGGATTGGCAAAATCTGGAAGGCCTCCAAAGCTGCTTGTTTGGCAACCCGGTGTGCTCTCTGATTTCCCCGAGCTATGGGTGTGTTGGCTTTCTGGTGCCCGGGGCAGTGGATAATAGCCAGTTTCTTAGGTAGCCATAGAACCGCCAACAAGTCAAGAATTTCTTGTTTATTTTTAATAGCTTTTCCCTCTGCTGTGAGCAGCCCCCTTTCCTGGTAGATGGCTCCATGCACATGTGCCATAGCAAAGGCATATTGGCTGTCTGTGTACACATTCAATCGTCTGTTCTTTCCAATCCTAAGGGCCTCAGTCAGAGCTATCAGTTTGGCCCTCTGAGCTGAGGTTCCCGCTGGCAAAGCCACCGCCCAAACAGTCTCAGTCTCAGTTACCACAGCTGCCCCTGCATACCTCTGCCCATCCTTCATGAAACTGCTACTGTAGGTGAACCAAGTAGCTTCTGCATCGGAGAGTGGCCGATGGGTCAGGTAGTTTCTGAGCCCATGTACCTGGCTCAGGATCCCCGCACAATCATGCAGGGATGCGTCCAAGTCGGGGTCAGGCAGCAGGGTGGCTGGGTTAAGGGTGGTGCTTGGGAGGAACCGAATTCTCGAGGGTTAAGAAGTAAGCTCTGATAATGGGTTATTCGGGCGTTGCTCAACCAGCGGTCCGGTGGCTGCTTAAGAACTCCTTCAATAGCGTGAGGAGTGGTGATGTGCAGTTCTTGCCCTAATGTCAATTTATCTGCATCCTTGACTAGAAGGGCAGTAGCAGCTATAATCCACAGACATGTGGCCATCCTGCGGCTACTGGATCAAGTTTCTTAGACAAGTATGCCACTGGTCTATTCCAGGGTCCTAACGTTTGAGTCAGGACTCCTTTGGCTATTCCTTTCTTTTCATTCAAATCTTCATGAAATGCTTCATCAAGAGAGTGGGCGATTTCTTGAATCCCTGAGGCAGGCGAGTCCAGGTCAGCTGTCTGTTGAAACCGACCTCCGGATCTTGCCATTCGAAGGCAAAGAATGGCTGACTGTCCTTGGCTAAGGGCAGGCTAAAGAAGGCATCTTTTAAATCTAGTACAGTATACCAGCTCCTGGAGGGCGGCAAGGAGCTCAGGAGGGTATAGGGATTAGGCACCGTGGGATGGATATCCATGACCCGCTTATTTACTTCTCTTAGATCCTGTACTGGCTGGTAATCTTCTGAGTTTGGCTTCTTTACCGGGAGGAGAGTTGTATTCCATGCAGACTTGCAGGGTACTAGGATTCCCTGGTCTCTTAGCCTCCAGATGTGTGGGATAACCCCTTATCTGGCTTCATGGGACATGGGATACTGCCAGAAGGGTTCCCGGTTTCAACTCCACCCAGATGGGTGGCCGGTGAGCTGCCAGCCCCATCCCTCCAGTCTTGGCCCAGGCCAGAGGAAATTCCTGCAGCCAAACAGAAATCTCCTCCATTGGCTGTGGGTCCAGTTTTTGGTGCAGTCAATACTCGTCTTCTAGTTGCAAGGTCAGTACCTGAATGGCGTGACCTCCTTTATCTATTAAATGAACCCCATTAGGTGAAAAATGGATGTGGGCTCCAATTTTGGTAAGCAAGTCTCTACCTAAGAGTGGGTAGGGGCAATCTGGCATGACTAGGAAGGAGTGGGACACCCTACCCATGCCTAGGTCCACTTTTCTTCGGGTGGTCCATGAATATTGGTTTATGCCAGTTGCTCCCTGTACCCAGAACTTTTTGTTTGATAATTTCCCTTGGGTCTCTGTTAACACTGAATGTTGAGCACCTGTGTCAACATGGAAACTCACAGGTGTCCCCTCCACTCTGAGAGTTACCCTGGGCTCGGGGAGGGGATCCAAACCCTGTCCTCCCTACTTGCTCCATTCCCCAAGCTCCAGGACTTGTATTCCTTCATGGACCTGCTTCTGCCCGGCTGGTCTTTCTGGACATTCCTTCTTCCAATGGCCCATTTTCTTACAATAGGCGCATTGGTTTTTCAACAATTTTGGTTGCCCTTCTGGGCATCTCCTACCTTGTTCAGCAGATAAGCATCGCAGCTGGTATTCTCTTTCACCTAGGGACCTGGTTGATGTGGCCAGGAGAATCTTAGCAAAGTTGCGGGTCTGCTCGGCACTGACAGCAGCAGCGACCTGGGCCTGCTTGTCCTCAGGACTCTCTTGATGATTGTAGACTTTCTCAGCCACTTCCAGAAGCTCTGGCAGGGTTTTATCTGCCAGTCTGTCCAATTTCTGCAATTTGTGCCTAATATAAGGTGCAGACTGGTTCACGAACACCAGGATCACTGCATTCTTATTCTTGGGTGCTTCCAGGTCCATTGGAGTATAGGTACAGAACACCTCAAGGATCCTTTCTAGGAATGCTGCGGGTGATTCTGCTCTCCCTTGCTGCACACCCTAATCTTGGCCAAATTGGTGGGATGCCTTGTGGCCACCTGGAGACCCCCCACAGTTTGGGGGTAGACCTGGAGCCTCTCCTTACCTTCAGCCACATTGAAGTCCCAATTCGGCCTAACCAGGGGAAAGGCTTCATCTATCAGGGCCTGATTGGTGGTGGGATTCCCATCCACCCCAGGGACCAGCTTGCGGGCTTCAACCAGGATCCGGTCTCTTTCTTCAGTGGTGAACAAGACCTGCAAAACAGATTCTAGCAAATCAATTAGCCCTTGGGGCTTTTCAGAGAATTTAGCTGTTTGCAGCTTCCAATTGTAGAGGTCGCTAGTTGCAAATGGCCAATACTGCATCTGTTGGTCCCCTGCTTTAGTGAGCGGCCCCACAGCCTGGAGGGGGAGGACAGTAGAGTCTGCCACCAGCCATGGCTGTTCCCTTTGGACCCTCCTCCATGTCTGGGGAGGGTGTTCTTCCATCTCCTGGGGTGGGGCTGCCTCCATCTCCCCCAGGGTGTCCTGAGGCTCTGCTTGTGGGACAGGCTGATAGGGGTGTGGCTCAAGCAGAAGTTCTTCCCCTGTGCCTCCTTGAAAGAGAGGGTAGAGAGGGGCAGAGAGTTTAGTGCAGGGTGAGGATGGTTGGCTTTGGGCCAGCGGCCGGGGGGTGGGGGGAGGAATGGCTTTAACCATTTTGGAGGCTCCTCCATCATAACCTACCAAGTCGTGAGGTAAGGGACCTGATCAGGGTGGCCTGGACTGCCATAAATTGTATCCTTTACTCTGTAGATGGAGGGCAGGTTGAACGTCCCTTCTTCAGGCCAACCGGCCCCAAAGGTTGGCCATTCATTCCTGCAAAACATAAAAAGCTTCCCTTTCTTTACTCTTAACCCCAGGCTAAGAGCCTGGGCTTTGAACTCCGAGAAGTGATCCTGGAAAAGGCTAAGAGGAGTTACTTGGTTCTGTCCCATCTCTTCTAATGCAGTAAAAGTCACAAACACAACAAAAAGCACAAATACACAGAAAAACAACACATGGTTAATTGGTGCCTTAAACTGAAAATAGGATGATGGCCTCTCGCCTCCCAGCAGGCGCGGCCCGCTTCGTCCTCCCAAGCTTACCAAGGGGATCCAATCCCCACCAGGTGGGTCTGGGATGTCTCCGGAGTCCCACAGCCTGGGGCCTTCCAGCACGTCCGCCTAGACCTCCAACAGGCAATCTCAAACTGTGCCCAAAAACCAGATGCGCACAAATACAAAAGACACAGAGACAAGAGACACTCACCGATGGGATCAGGCAGACTCAGCACTCTGGGGTCCTCTGGGGGGCTTGGGGATCCTGGACGAGCCCCCAAATGTTGTGCCCAAAAACCAGATGCGCACAAATACAAAAGACACAGAGACAAGAGACACTCACTGATGGGATCAGGCAGACTCAGCACTCTGGGGTCCTCTGGGGGGCCTTGGGGATCCTGGACGAGTCTCCTTTGTCCCTTTTGTTGTGCCCAAAGAATGGACCCCCAAGAATAACCACAGACTCCAGAGGGCATGCAAGAACAAAGAGTCTTTATTCGGGCTTAAGCTCGGGCTCTCAGACCTCACCAACACAATGGATCTGTGCTGAGAGCACCAATCACAGGGGGAGGAAGCCTTTTATAGGTTTTAGACCAAGGCAGAAGGGGAATAACAGAGTTACATCTTGATTGGTCCGAGGAGTCCCTGCGCACCAACACACTTTTGAATTGATTGGTTACAAGGGATGCAGTCCTGGGGGCTTCTCATTGGTGGGTGCTACCCTCAGAGCTGTGGAATGTGCTGACTGTTATCTGTAGAGCCAGAAGTCTCTGTTTCTACCTTATAAGGCTGCTATATGTCTGGGCTTGCTTGACCTATAGCCTCCTGGGGTGGGGGTGGCAGGTGGAGATTACGACATGCCTGGGCATGTTCAGGCTTGCCTGAAACAGCTAGTCAGAATGGGGTCAATACAGTTTGTCCTTTCAATCGAGCAATCAAGCAGTTTACAGAAGCAAAAAAGAGCAGTTAGTCCTAAAGAGGGGCAGGGGTCTCGTGAGTCCAGGGCAGGGGGCCAAGGAGGAGGGCTTTTCACTCAATCCCCACATAACCCAGGATGAACTTTGGTCAGCTGGGTTCTGGCTGGATCTGAGCAGTCATCTGAAAATTTGGATGTGCTAGACTTTGGAGCAGGGCACCCTGAGATTCAACTCTGTGCTGCTCCAGGTTCCATCTTGTGATGGTGTCACCTGGGAAAGCAGAAGGCACAGCCTGTGGGCAGGAGTGGTAGAGACTGCTGGCCTGTTCTGAGCCTTCAGTCAGGCCTTGGAGGCCATTGGTTGGTACCTTAACTCTACAACATTCTGGTTGTGACCTCCCCCATGACTTTAGGTGTCCAATCTGGCACTTCTTCATCTTTCAGATGCCCCAGCAGTGCAGGACATAATGAGAACCCGTCTTGGGAGGGCCCAGCAGGGGGCCAAGAGGTGGCATGGGTGGGGAGGAGAGGGTGATACCTGAGGATGCACAGGTTAGAGGCCTGTGATCGAAGCCATCTCAGGGCCCATCCAGCAACTCATGAACAGGAGCAGTGGAGGCGCAGTCAGGTTTCTCACTAAATTCCTGACCTACACACCACCCTCAAAGTTACCTTAGACTGACATTGCCAAGGTGAGGTTGGCATATGGGACCTGTTCATGGTTACCTGGCAGAGGTGAGAAGTGGGGAAAGAGTATATGACTCTGTGAAAAAAATTCACTCTATATCCCAGGCTAGTGTTGAATTCTCTATGCAGCCAAGGCTGGCCTCAAATTCACTACATATCCCAGGCTGGCTTTGAACTCATGATCCTCCCGCTTCAACCTCCTGGATGCTAGAGTCCTAGGTGTGTGCCACCACCCCACACATGCAGTAGGCCTTTAACTAGCTCTGCTTGCTTGGAGATGATTCTGAGGGCGATGTGTGCCTCTTGTGGAAGGCAGTGAAACTATAAATCAGAATGGTGCACTGACCATCATCCCACGCCTTAGGGATGATCCTGTTGACTGTGGCCTGTTTCCTGCACAGAACCTTCTGTGCAAGGCACATAAACCAAGTTCTGTCTGTCTGTCATCCCAGCAGGTGAAAGCGACTCTGAAGGTTTTCACCAAGTGAGCTTTTGTTGGGATAGTCTGGAGTAGAAGCAATGAGGTAACCTCAAGATTCCCTGGTGAAGGTTGGGGGTCTCCTTTAAGAAGTGAATAGCAGAACTGGATGGATGCTCAGTGGTTAGGAACAATGGCTGATCTTGCAGAGGACCTGGGTTTAGTTCTCAGCACCCATATAGTGGCTAACAACCATCTATAACTCCAGTTCCAGGAGATCTGACACCCTCTTTTGAACTCCATTCTATTGTATACAGGTGGCACATCTACATACATGCAGGGAAAACATTCATACACATAAAATAAAAGGCAAAACATTCATACACATAAAATAAAAATAAATGAAATATATTTTAAGAAAAGAAGTGAATAACAGGTTAGCAAGATGGCTCAATGGGTAAAGGTGCTTCCTGCTAAGCCTGATGACCTGAGTTTAATCTCTTGGGCCTACATGGTGGAAGGAAAGAACTCCTTCAAGTTGTCTTCTGACTTCCACATGTGTGCTGTTGTATGCACACACATCCGCACCACACTCTGTTAAAAAAGGAAGCGAGGGGCTGGAGAAGTGGTTCAGCAGTTAAGAGCACTGGTTGCTCTTGCAGAAGACCTGGTTCAGTTCCCAGCACCCATATGGTCTGTAACTCCAGTTCCAGGGAATCTGACATCCTCTTTTGACTTCGGAGGACATTGCATGACATGGGTGCACTTACACAATGCAGGCATTATACTAATAAACATAGAATAAAAATAATCAAACAGAGCAGTAGAGAACAGGTCCTGAGAGGTTAGCAGGGCCACCCCTAAAGAACTGGTCCCATGGATCCAGACGCAATGAGCCCATCATCCTATCTCATTGTGAGGCACAGGCAGGTAATGTGATCTGTGATCAAATGAATAACAGCAGGGAGATGGTCACCTGCCACAGTTGGGATTCTCCTGGGCAGCACTGGGGCAATCAACTGCTGCTACTGTGTACATGGATGTGTGTATACATGTATGTGCACACATGTGCATATGTACGGGGTATACACACATGCATTCACATCCCTATGTATGTGATTTAACAGGTGCCATCCCTCATGCAAGTTTAAGTTCTGAGTCCCTTTAGACCATTTTCATAAGCATTTGCCTCTCTTCATTCAATGTGGGTGGGAATTGACTAGCTCACGGCAATGAACAGCCACCACACATCCTGAAACCAGGCCTCTTTCAGGGCCTTTCTGGGGCATCGCCACAGATGTTAGCACCCACATGGAGGCAACAACAGTCCTTACCTCCAGTTCTGGGGATCTGGCACCCTCTTTAGGCCTCTGTAGCAAAGCCCTTTGAAAAGCCCTTTCAATACAGCAAAGCCCTTTGAAAATAGCTGTTGGCTGCTGTCACAGCCAACAGCTACTTCTCCTGTCATGCCTGCCCCCCCTTGCTAACTGTACCCTCTTGAACTGTGAGCCAGAACGAATCCTTCCTCCTTTAAGTTGTTTCTTGTCAGGTATTTGATGACCGCAACATGGGTGGTAACAGACACAGTGGGTGAAAAAAAATTCCAATGTGTGTAACCTTCCGTTTCTTTCTGAGTCAGGAGGGAAAGGTGGGGTATTGAACCAGTGTTATGGCTCCCAGCCCATCCTATAGAGGAAGAGACCCAGGCTCAGAGGATATAACATTTGAGTCTTTTCAACAAATGCTGCTGAAACTGTCAGATGTCCACAGGCAAAAAGTGAATCTCCATCTAAATGTCAGACTTTATGCAAAAGTAGCATAAGATTATTCACAGATCTAGATGTAAATGAACAGTTCCACTTTAAAGAGAACAAAGAGGGGCCGGGGAGATGGCTCAGTGGCTAAGAGCACTGGTTGCTCTTGCAGAGGACCCAGGTTTGGTTCCCAGCACCCACATGGAGGCTAACAACAGTCCTTACCTCCAGTTCTGGGGGTCTGGCACCCTCTTTAGGCATCTGCAGGCATTGTGTGACATGTGCAGATGTTAGCACCCACATGGAGGCAACAACAGTCCTTACCTCCAGTTCTGGGGGTCTGGCACCCTCTTTAGGCCTCTGCAGGCATTGTGTGACATGTGCGTACTTAGATACATGCAGGTAAAACACTCATATACATAAAATAAAAATTTAAAAAAGAATACACAGGAGATAGCCTCTTCTGACTGGGGTTTAGACAGAGACTTTTTGTACCCAGTATCAAAAACATGATCCATAAAATACAATGAAATAAAACAATGATAAATTATCTTTTAAAATGATTTTTTTTTTTTTTTTTGCTGTGCTAAAAGCACTATTAAGGGAACAAGAAGATAAGCCACAGACTAGGGGAAAGTACCTGAAATTACATATCCAGTAAAGGATTTCTGTCTAAAATATGCAAAGTGCTCTTTAAAATCAGTAGGGAAAAGATACGATGAGAAAATGGGGACTTGAATGGATCCAAAGAAGATAAAGGAGTGGTAAACAAGCACATGAAAGCGCGTTCTGTATCAGCAGCAGTTAGGAAAATGTGTGTTCAGACCACAACGGGAGCGCCGAGTGTCAGTCAGAGTGGCTGAAATAAGAGCTTCTGACAATAGCCCATGCTGTCAAGGATGTGGAGCGACGGTCGGGGATGTGTGAGCAGTTGCCCATTATGGGAGGGAAAGAGAAATGGGACGGTCACCGTGGATATATCCTTTGACCACTTCTTATGAAATTAAGCATGTGCTTGCTGTAGGGCCAACATTCCACTCTTGTGTGCAAATGCCACTGAAGCTGCACTCCTTTTTATTTTATTTAATTTTAAGATTGTATTTATTATTATTTTATGTGTATGAGTGTATTGCCCGCATGTATGTAAGTGCATCCATGTCGTGCAATGTCCACAGAGGTCAGAAGAGGACGTTGGATTCTGGAGTTTCGGATGGTTAGCTGTCATGTGAGTACTGGGAACTGAACTTAGGTCCTCTGCAAGAGCAACTGGTGCCTTTAACTGCTGAGCTGTCTCTCTAGTCTCAATTCTTTTAAAAATGTAATTAAAAATATTTGTGGTGTGTGTGTGTGTGTGTGTGTGTGTGTGCGTGTATGTGTGCGTGTGTGCGTGTGTATAGGTCAAAGGACAACTTGTGTGAGTTGGGTCTCTCCTTCCACTATGTGAGTCTCAGGGACTGAACTCAGGTCATCAGGG